ACGAACCTGATTTGTTAAATAATCTTGATGGTTAGAGCATCTCCAATGCTACAATGTGCACGGTGCACAAGTGGCATGAGAGAGAGACCCAAAAAATTGATTTTAGGTTATTTCTCTCTCCGTCTTTCCACGGTCTTATATGTTTTTGGTAAGTTTTTCTCTGCAATGTCAACCACAATGTCTACATCTAGACATTGTGCTTCACATTGTGAAGAAAAACTTAAGAAAATGATGTAAGATCCTTCAAATAAGGAGAGAGATATTTTATTTATTGTTTTTTGATTGGTTATCTCTCATGCCACGTATGCACCGTTGACGTATTAGCATCGGAGATGCTCTTAACGAGGAAGAAATCCTCTACACTTTGACTGTATGATCCAACAGGATCCAAAGGAATTTTCCTAACAAGGAGCTGTCAACAGTACAACTGAAATGATGACTTAATTATATTGAAGAGCAGACAAAATAATAACGCACATAAAAGTAAGAAAACAACAATGCCAGATAGTTTCACAACGTCCATCCTTTAATAAAATCATGAGAGCATCCAATAGTAAGATTTCAGTTTGTCCATTTTCTTTCTGTGAACGGATCATGTTAGCACTTTTCTGTAGGATCCTAATGTTAGAAAATTGATATTAAAAATGCGAGTTTAACCAGATAAAAATCCCGAGTTTATACAAATCACCAGACAAACCAACAAATGCAAGAACAAATAAAAATAATAATAATTAGAATATTAACAAAATGATTAAATAGAAAGGATAAGAAAAGACTTATCGCAGGATCGCCCGTTAAAACAGACTGGCCTTGAAGAAAGATAGCCCCCGTATCCCGATAGCTATTCGGACGGGTCAGGCTAGCTCGCTCCCAGGATAATCCTACCACGTTTCAGGCTCGTAGCTACCTTGACTGAAACCTTCGACCGTTGCCCAATTTGCCTTTTGAAAGTGAAGAAACTCAACGAAAGAAGCTATGGATTTTATGCTCTCGAAACGGAAGAAACAAATTCCTTGAAGACAAGAAAATATGCAGACCACAGCAAGTGTGTTCGCACTTAGAAAATTAAAGAAAATGAGTTTCCTCCCAGGACGTTTTCTGTATACGTGCAGTGGCATATATATGCATTATTCATATCTATTACTCCACGAATGATCTATTAAAGAAGCATGCAGTGGGTTCATATGTATTACTTGAAAATCAGAATGAATACAAACATATGAATGAGGTGTAACGTTTGTTCCACGATCTAATATTAATGATCCTTAAACAAAGGTTGACCAGGCTTATTCCAATCGGACAATTCAAATTCAATTTTTGAAACGTCCGAAACCAGCTTTAAGGCTGCTATTTATCATCTATATTAAAGAGATAATAAAACCGGGCTATCCAAATTCAATTTTGAAAAAGTCTTATAAAAGCTTTATTAGAGCTACTGTTTATTCTCTTATTAAGATAATGAAACATCTCAGAATTATTGTCCATAAGTTAAATAGTCTTTTGACTTGAAATATTTTCCATACAATTTTATCATAACGAATGGTCCTAAGAGTATGGAATAATATTTTTAGCCATCTTACATGATACTTGAATGATATTCCTTATCACATAATTTTTTCTTCATCTATTTAAGATATAGGACAATAATTCACCATTTTAACATTTCACTTTACAACTCTTACAACTATGGATTCTATTCACCAAATGAAATAAATCCAAGTATGAAAGTTGTACTTTGATAATAAGCCACTCTCATTACATATATTTATATTGCACACATATTTCAGGACTCAAAATGAGACCATTCAAAAAATAATTTATTTCATCATATTTCCAACAATCCCCCACAAATCCATAGTTGTAGACTCAACTCTAAGACATAGTGTGCTTTCAAATATGGTACCTTCCGGTTTGAACCAAATTCTAAGCTCTTACCCCTAACCCCCACAGGAACTGAGTGAACAGAGTTCTTGAACTCGAACCTTGATTGTGTTGGCGCGGGATAAAAGCAACACACTAACGGCGATGGCAACGATCTATAGGGGTGACGCTTTACGGCCGTGCGTCCGATCCTGTCTCAAGAATGTCATCGAGAATAAACCCACATTCTCTTATTGCGGCCACACAATAACATTCTCATAGTTGGGCATCTCCAAGAGTGCATTGCTAACACTCTGCTATTAAAGCTTGATCCCATTCAGAGTCTTAAACTCTTACTAACTTAGCAATTTTAGCATCTCTAAGGCTTATCAAGGAATAGAACTCATAAAACAATTTTTTTCATGAGATGCACAATTCACTCTACGGTTTCTTTATACCTCATTGAACCTACTTTATGGGATCTCCACTCAGATAGGTTGGGTTGCTACCGTAGATGAATAATTATTGGGTTTCAGTCCCATTCCTAACCTTGATTTTATCACTTGATTTAAATCAAGTCCTTTTGTTAACGGGTCCGCTGTATTATCTTTGGATCCAACAAAATCAACAGCAAACACCCCTTGAGACACAAATTTCCTTATAGTTTTTAATCTAACTTGAATGTGTCTCCTAGTCTTTTGATTATACTTGGTACTCCTAATTTTTGCAATTGTACTCATACTATCACAATGCAAACAAATAGGTGGAATTGGCTTGCTGAATATAGGTAACTCGGACATTAGTCCCTTAAACCATTCATCCATAATTCCTGTAGTATCCAACACACATAATTCAGCCTCAAAAGTAGACCGAGAAAGTACAGTTTGTTTAGTGGACTTCCAGGCAACAGCCCCACCACCAAACGTAAACACATAGCCGGTACACCCATAACTCCCGGAGTTCTTAGCTATCCAGCTTGCATCACTATATCCTTCAAGAACAGGAGGATATTTACCATAATGCAAACCTAAGGAAATAGTTCCTTTCAAGTATCTAAATACTCTATCTAAAGCCTCTCAATGAGTTCTGTTTGGACAACAAGTGTACCGACTAAGTTTAGACACTGAAAATGCAATATAAGGTCTAGTACAGTTAGCTAAGTAACCCAAGCTACCAATCATCTGAGAATATTTTAATTGAGACACCGGAACACCACTTTCATTTTTATACAAAGCTACAGAAGGATCATAGGGTGTTTTAGCAATTCTACTATTTTTAAATCCAAATTTCTCAATTAATTTTTCAATATAATGAGACTGAGAAATAGAAATGCCTTCGGTTGATCTAGTCAACTTTAGCCCAAGAATTACTTCCGCCACCCCCATATCCTTCATTTCAAACTTTGTTTTCAAAAATGACTTGGTCTCAAAAATAATATTATCATTAGTGCCAAATAATAATATGTCATCAACATATAGGCATAAAATAATGCTTATATCACCTTTACATTTATAATAAACACTTTGATCAGCATCTATAAGAGTAAATCCAAACGAAGAAATTATTTTATCAAATTTTTCATTCCATTGCTTAGGGGCTTGCTTAAGTCCATATAGAGACTTAACTAATTTACAAACTTTTCTCTCATTGCCTTTTGCCACAAATCCCTCAGGCTGATCCATATAAATTTCTTCTTCAAGGTCACCATGAAGAAAAGCTGTCTTAACATCCATTTGATGAATTTTAAGACCATATACGGAGGCCAATGCTATAAGCATTCTTATTGTGGTCATTCTTGCAACTGGAGCATATGTATCGAAAAAATCAATACCTTCTTTTTGTTTATAACCCTTAGCAACTAATCTGGCCTTATATTTATCAATGGTTCCATCTGGTTTTAGCTTCTTTTTAAAAATCCATTTACATCCAATAGTAGTACACCCGGGAGGAAGATCAACAAGCTCCCATGTTCCATTTTGAACAATGGAGTCCATTTCACCTTTAATTGCATCCTTCCAATACATGGCCTCAGACGTGGCCATTGCATCTCTAAAGGAAATTGGATCACCCTCAATATTGTAAGTGATAAAATCACTTCCAAAATCCTTAGTGATTCTAGCTCGTTTGCTCCTTCTCGGTTCATCTAGATCATTTGATTCAAAATCAATATGACTAGAACTACCAGATTCTACCCCCACATTTGTCATCTTTTCCACTTGATCAGGAATTGAATTAAATGTAGTTTCTTGATTTCAAAAGAAGTATTTTGGGGCACACCCGTTTTCATTGGAAAAACATCTTCAAAGAAAGTAGCATCACGAAGTTCTACAATAGTATTGACATCTATGCCAGAAATTTCAGATTTAATAACCAAAAATTTCAATGCATAAGAATGTTCAACATAACCAATAAAAATAGCATCAACAGTTTTAGGCCCAAGTTTCTTTCTTTTGTGTTCAGGGACTAACACTTTTGCAAGACAGCCCCACACTTTAAAATATTTCAAACTTGGTTTTCTGCCTGTCAAGAGTTCAAATGGACACTTATCTTTATGTTTCATGGGAATCCTATTCAAAATATGGCAGGCCGTATTCAAGGCTTCCCCCCACATAAACTTAGGTAATCCAGAATTCTCTAATAAACTGTTAATCATATCTTTAAAAGTTCTATTTTTCCGTTCAGCTACTCCATTTGATTGTGGTGAATAAGGAGGTGCTTCTTCATGTACTATACCATATTTTTGGCATTCCAGTACAACTAAATTAGAAGTATACTCTCCTCCCCTATCAGACCTTAACCTTTTAATTTTCTTGCTAGTTTGATTCTCTATTTCATTCTTAAAAATTAAGAATTTTCCAAGAGCTTCATCTTTACCCTTAAGTAGATACACATAACAGTATTTAGAATAATCGTCAATAAAAGTGATAAAGTATTTTTTCTTATCACGTGTAAGAACTCCATTAAACTCACAAATGTCGGTATGAACTAAATCAAGTAATTCTGAATTTCTATCAATTGAATGATATGGTTTTCTTACTTGTTTAGTAGTAGCACATACCATACATTTCTTAGTTTTATCAATAGAGTGCTTAGGAATAAAATTTAAATTCATCATTCTTTTCACAGAATCTAAATTAACGTGACCCAAACGATAATGCCATAAAGTTGAAGAATCACAATTCTCAGATACATAATTTAATTCTAAATAATCAACCATAACTTTAAAAAGTCCATCAGACAAGTAACCTTTGCCAATAAAAGTTCCGCCAAACAAAATTACAACTTTATTTAATTTAAAAGACAACTCATAACCCTCCCTAACTAGAATGGAACCACTAACGATGTTCCTTCTAATTTCGGGAACGTGATGCACTCCATGCAAAGATAGAATTTTTCCCGAAGGGAATTTTATTTCTACTTTTCCAATTCCTTGCACACTTGCAGCACTTGTGTTCCCCATCATCACTGTTCTTCCAACCGCAGGCTGATAAGAAACAAAGAGCGATTTATCAGCACATACATGCACATTCGCTCCCGTATCTATTAGCCACTCATTGGAATTATAAATAGTGAAAATTTGAGGATTAATAGAAACGTACCCATTAGAACTAGTCCCTCCAGTCACCATGTTGACTTGAGGTCCCCCAGATTGAGCCTTGGCCTTTTTATTAGGACACAATTTGGCCCAATGCCCCATCTGTCCACAGTTCCAGCATGGTCGGTTTGCTTTTGGTTTCTTTGCAATTTTTAGTTGAGAAAATTATCTCTCTCATGACTAAAAGAACATGATGTTCCCAAAGTATGACTTCACCAGTTTTTTCCCCAATCTAATGCTCCTACAACGTGAATGGTCATACACGCGCCTCTATTATTTGTTTTAATTCCAATCATGTCCTCCACTAAGCAAATAAATAAGTACCATAACTGCCGATCAAATAGGATGGGCGTAAACAAACTTTTACTTGAAACTCCTAATAATTAGGAAGAAATTGCAAATGAATTAATTGCATTATGGGTGTCGAGTAAATTAGGAAAATACGCACATGATATATACTCACATTATTATTATTATTATTATTAGTAGTAGTAGTATTATTTGTTATTATTAGTATTCTTATTGATATTGTTATTATTATTATTATTTACTTCAAAAAATTATTATTATTATTTTATTGTTATTGTTATTATTATTAAGTGTCCTAATAAATTATATGTGTTATATTTTTATGTAGCAATTGGGCAGTAGTTTATCCATAAAAATGTTTGCGTTTTTATCTATTATTGATTTAGTTGGTATATTTACTGCCCTCACTTTTTTTCCCTATTGATTGAATTTTACTATCACGGGCAATAACTTTTATTATGCCTAGTATATCATATTCTCCCTTTCTTACTACACATGTATGTATCAGGGCAATAAATTATTTAGTGCAGCGTCTTCATTATGTGTGTTATAATTTTACGTGTTCATTTACTGTCCTCCAATATATGGGCAGTGAAGCACACATGTCAATTTATTGTTCATTTTACGTCTAATTTCTATTTTAGTAAAATATTCTTTGTGATTAATTTTTGTTAACGTATTCATTTAATTGTCAAATGTCCTATCACTTATGTATCAATGGGACAGTAATTTATGTATGTCCTAATTTTCTCTAGTGTTGATTTAATTGGTACATTTACTGCCCTCACAAATTTTCATATTGGTTTAATTTTATTGCCACCCTATGGGCAATAACTTTCAATATGCATTGCCTTTACGTCTATTGCACTGCTGGCTCTAGTATAAATACGTTTATGGGAATAGTTCATTTAATTCTAAATCTTATTGTAAAATAATTCAATATATGGAGTAAACTCCCGTTATATTTATACTGCAGTTTAAACATGCAAAAATAAATATTATAAAGTTATTTAAAAGATTAAAATATCAAATGTAAATCATGAATGTCCTTTTTGAAATATGGCTCCACGCCATTAGGAGCGATAGTCACAGTTTCTACAACAATGCGTATTAATTGGCTGGATTCCATTTTGAAAAGATTCCTTTTTTATAAACCGTGTGTTTACAAGGAAGTTAGGGGTAATAGAGTAACATTGCATCTTTATTAAATATCCATTTATATGCATAGGCACGTATTTAGTCATACGTTAGACATAATTTATTTTTAGTCATATATTGAGAAACTCTGTTTCTTTTAGTCATATAACCGTATTTTTCCCTTTTTAGTTTGGCCTTTATGGGTTTAAAAGATGGTGATTGTTTATTTTTAGAATTATGTGCTTGCTTTCCCCCAGTCATAACATGAGCCTTCGGTTGAAATTCAACAGGCGCAATATAACCCGCTTTCTTATGCTCCTCCTCAACAGTAATGGAAAGCATCAAAGATTTCCAAGTGATCTTTTTCATTTTATGTTTTAAAGTCATACCAAAATCTTTCCATGATTTGGGAAATTTTTCTATGACCGCCATCACTTTAAATTTTTCAGGCAATTCCATATCTGCTTCACGAAGAGAATGTAAGATAAGCTCAAATTCTTGTGTCTGTTCTAACACCGATTTACCTTCTTTCATGTCAAATCGTAGGAATTTAGAAACAATATACTTTTCAAGACCGTGGTCCTCAGTATTATATTTCTTATCCAACTCATCCCAAAGGTCCTTAGCCGTGCCGTGGAGGGTGCAATAGACATCAAATAACATGTTGGAGAGACCCAACAAAATCATGCCTTTTGCAATTTCATCCCTCTCACGCCATAAAGCTTGGCGTTCAAGACTTTTGGGATCTGATTCAACAACGGGGGGACACACCGTCATAATTACCGAGAGCAAGCCCTTGGTGATTAACCAAATTTTCATACGTTGTTGCCAACGCTTGAAAAAATGCCCAGAAAATTTTTCCGGCATTCCAGTTAAATCAACCCTTTGCGAGCCCGTAGCAACATAGTCAAGTGTGTCTCCACAATTAGTCACAGACACATTATTTTCAGGGATTTCATCCACATTATTCTCAACAACAACATTTTCGGAAACTGCATTTTCCAAGTTTGCCATTTTGGATTTTCCAAAACTCGAGAAATAATATCTTTCTTCAAGATTGTTAGAAAATTGATATTAAAAATGCGAGTTTAACCAGATAAAAATCCCGAGTTTATACAAATCACCAGACAAACCAACAAATGCAAGAACAAATAAAAATAATAATAATTAGAATATTAACAAAATGATTAAATAGAAAGGATAAGAAAAGACTTATCGCAGGATCGCCCGTTAAAACGGACTGGCCTTGAAGAAAGATAGCCCCCGTATCCCGATAGCTATTCGGACGGGTCTGGCTAGCTCGCTCCCAGGATAATCCTACCACGTTTCAGGCTCGTAGCTAGCTTGACTGAAACCTTCGACCGTTGCCCAATTTGCCTTTTGAAAGTGAAGAAACTCAACGAAAGAAGCTATGGATTTTATGCTCTCGAAACGGAAGAAACAAATTCCTTGAAGACAAGAAAATATGCAGACCACAGCAAGTGTGTTCGCACTTAGAAAATTAAAGAAAATGAGTTTCCTCCCAGGACGTTTTCTGTATACGTGGAGTGGCATATATATGCATTATTCATATCTATTACTCCACGAATGATCTATTAAAGAAGCATGCAGTGGGTTCATATGTATTACTTGAAAATCAGAATGAATACAAACATATGAATGAGGTGTAACGTTTGTTCCACGATCTAATATTAATGATCCTTAAACAAAGGTTGACCAGGCTTATTCCAATCGGACAATTCAAATTCAATTTTTGAAACGTCCGAAACCAGCTTTAAGGCTGCTATTAGGGATGGCAATGGGGCGGGTTTGGGGCGGGGGTTCACTCCCCCATCCCCCGCCCCGTGTCTAAAAAATCGCCCCCACCCCCGCCCCATCCCCCACTACTATTCGACCCGCCCCATTCCCGCCCCGACCCGCTAGACCCACGGGTACCCAACGGGGGAAGTACTCGTCAAAAATTAACATCATTTTAGACTGACAATTTTTCAAAAATTAAACAACACTTCTAGTAGCCAATTTTTTTTACTTTTTAAGGGTTGGTTTGCAACTCTTTTTTAAAAAAAATACTTCTCAGCTTTTGGCTTTAAAAAAATACTTATTTTTCCAAACACTACAACTTTTATTTTTCTCGGCTTTCGCGTCAAAAGTGCTTTTACTTTTTCTATTACACAAAAAGCACTTATTTTACCAAACACTATCCACTTTTACTTTTCAAAATCACTTTTTTCTCAAACACTATCAACTTTTATTTAATCACTTCTCCCCATTTCATAAAAAAAACACTTTTTTAAAAGTAGAAGTTGTTGCAAACAGACCCTAAGTGTCAATGTAATCTTACATCCCATTTCAAATCTAGAACACATTATACACGTCCTAATTTAGTCATTTTTATCAAACTCTAAATTAGCATTGATTAGCTCTATAATATTTTCTTAAACCCTGCATTCAATCAATCATGGTCATTTGATGGCATCTAGGACGGCATATGATCACAAAATTTTAAGAGCCCTAACTACAATCATAAAGATGACATTCAAAAGAAAAGAATTAATGCATTGTAATAGTAAAGGAAAAAAACTTTCACACTGTGCCTAGGGCGTTTAAGCTAATACCACTTTATAACTTTCCCAAATTCATTTTACTTTATCCCTAAACAAATCATTTTACTTTATGATTTTGATAAGCAATTTTACAAGATAGCTTAGTTATTAAACAAGAATTAGATAGACCCATTAGGCACAATCCATTAGATAGGAAACCACTAAACCCACCGGGCCACCATGCTATTTTAATTACTTCGTATATATTAGTATTACTATTATTATTAGTATTATTATTGAGATTATTATTATTAATAATTATTACGGGGGACGAGGCGGGGACGGTGCGGGGGGTGCATAACCCATCACCCGCCCCATATTTATGCGGGGAGAAAATATCTCCCCCACCCCACCACCCGCCCCACCCCACCACCCGCCCCAACTCCCCCCCACGGGGCGGTTCCCCACGGGCCCCCGCCCCCATTGCCATCCTTAGCTGCTATTTATCATCTATATTAAAGAGATAATAAAACCGGGCTATCCAAATTCAATTTTGAAAAAGTCCTATAACAGCTTTATTAGAGCTACTGTTTATTATCTTATTAAGATAATGAAACATCTCAGAATTATTGTCCATAAGTTAAATAGTCTTTTGACTTGAAATATTTTCCATACAATTTTATCATAACGAATGGTCCTAAGAGTATGGAATAATATTTTTAGCCATCTTACATGATACTTGAATGATATTCCTTATCACATAATTTTTTCTTCATCTATTTAAGATATAGGACAATAATTCACCATTTTAACATTTCACTTTACAACTCTTACAACTATGGATTCTATTCACCAAATGAAATAAATCCAAGTATGAAAGTTGTACTTTGATAATAAGCCACTCTCATTACATATATTTATATTGCACACATATTTCAGGACTCAAAATGAGACCATTCAAAAAATAATTTATTTCATCATATTTCCAACACCTAATTTAAACAAAATATTCACTTTTCTCAAATCTAATTTTAATTAAATTCACATGGTTGTTATCCAAAACCTTCGTTCTATTGATTCCCAGAAATATAATAGCCGAAATTAAAACATATATATCACTCAAAATATGCTTATGATTTTTCTAGTAAATAAGCTCTAATACAAAGAAACAAGCTACAGGCCAAACAAACCCAAAACATAAGCTACGGAATACCAACAAATGTTTTCAACCAAAATTATATTCCAGGAAGGAAGAACTTACAGTGTTAGTTTGTTGTTGTTAACATTAAGAATGGTTTCAGCTAAATCGATACCAAGGAGCACTTCTAAGTAGCTTGCAAGTGAAATAAAACAAAGATGCCCAAATCAATAAAGTTCTAACCAGGCCATAGATTACAGTGCTAAATCCTAGCATGTACTCCTGCCAGCCAGCCATCTTAGAAGACATTGTGAGTTCCACACCTATGGAGGATTGCATACTACTCACACAATAACATAATTAGTCAGCAATCTAGAGTATCGTGTTGCTAAACCACATGTGTCACACATTTCCAAATAACATTAAATACTAAATGGAAACATACAACTGATTAAAACGAATATGCAGATTAGCAGATATCTTTTATCTGGCTGATTGAAAACTATGAATAGGTTCAATTCAAAAATCCATAACACATCCATCTAAAATATTTTCCCAATCATAAAATAAAAATTGAATTTACTCTAGCCTATCCATATAATCACATAATCTTTATTCATATCACACACACAACCAAATCTAAATTCCTATCAATAAAGAGCTTTAAATGAGCAAGGAAAACAAAAAGAGAAATCCGAAGTTTAATCATAGATTAATGAAATTGAGAATATAAATTAATATAATTAATCAATAAAAACATACCTGACCAACCGAACCTCATAGCTGAGTGACGATGATGGCCCATGAGAAGCGGCATGGGCTTGTCATTATAATACTACAAAAGGTAACAATCACACACACACACACACACACACACACATATATATATATATATATATATAAAACATAAAATTGAAACCTTCAAGAGTTAAGAAACAACAACTTACTGTCACAAATCTCATTATACAGAATATCCAGTAGCTCGTCTTCTCACAACCTCAAACGCTTGGGTTGGATCATAATTTTGATGAAATAGAAATTGATTTGGAAGTTGGAGGTGTCTAACCAGCCCTCTCCTCCAACCGAACTGGAAAGTGAAGCACCGAAGCCGGATGGGCGACGAGCTGTGGTAGTTCCGGATGAGTGACAGGGGTTCCGGATGAGCAGTGATGTTTCCCGATGAACGGAGTCTGATGTCGATTCCGGGTAAACGGAGACCGTCTAATAGTAGCAAGAGCGATCGGCTAAACTGATGCAGCGATAGGCTCGGGGAGCTTCATCCAGATCCGTGGGGTGGAGGAGGAGAGCTGCAAAGGCTGAGAGCCTTGGGGAGAGTGAAATGAGAAATGAAATTGGAGAAACATCCGCCACTCATTCTTGTAGGGAGAGCAGCAAACAGTGACAGCAAACGGAGGCTAACGATTGGGACTGTAGTAACGTAAAAAAGCCCAAGTTAACTTTCTTAGGCTGCCTTCAAACCTAAGGGTGAAAAGGCAAATTTGATGCTTTCACCCCTATATTTGCTGCAAGCCATGTATTTGTGGGTGTCAAACTTCGTTGGATAGCACGGATGCAGTGAGAATTTAGACCCTTCATTCATGAAGAAAAGTTGCTGCAACGGCACATATGCATGATTCCAAAATGTGGGGTTTGGAAAATTAAAAATCCCTAATTTTTTAAATGTAGTATATCTTTTTTATTTGTAATCTATTTTTTACAAAAAAATATATCAAAATTCATAATTCTTTATTATCTTTCATATGACACTAATATCATATATATATATATATATATATATATATATATATATATATATAATTTAGAGAATAAAAATATGAAATTTCGTCAGTTGGAGATTTTTATGTTTAATTTTTTTAAGTAGATTCAAGTGCTAAAATTAAGATCTCATAACAAAAATAACTTTTTACTATCTTTCGGTTATTTTTTTTCAAAAATTGCTATAATTTAACAATAAAAAAAGTTAACTCTAAATTTATTTAATTTTACATCGAAATGTTCGTCTTTTAATATCATATATATTAGCAAAACAGATTAACAAAAAATAATTTATAATAATAAAAGGAAGAGTTTAATTAAAGAAAAACTTTCATGGTTGAATATATTGACGGTGCAGGATTGCAGTAAAAACTGAATTGACAGACTGGATACATATAAAGTAGTGGGGAATTTAATTTATTGACGGGGCGGGGTTGCGGTTAGCCTTACACACATTATATTAAGCCATATAGGTAGATAGATACAGACAGATTTGTATACACACAAAATTGATAAGCACAAATACCCACTCATAAGAGCAATCTATATTGATGATATTCAAATAAACAGATTTTTTGTGCCACATCATTGCCACATGTAAAATTTTAATAATATCAAATATTGTAAAATTGCTCTCAACCATGATCTTAGAGACTTAGATAGTTAGACTATTGTAATTTTTGTATAAAATGCATTAAAATGCTCTCTCTCCTACAAACATAGGGAATGCTATTTGCCACTTGAATAAGTTATTTTTTTAAAATTTACATATAGTAAGTAACATGGTAAATTATACCATACATCCGGTTGTACGGTGCTCATCGTACAACTGGGTATTTTTGCAATTAATTACAACTCTAAGTCTTGGATGCTGCTCGCTTGGTCTTGGATACTGCTCGCTCGCTGCTCTCTGCAAAGTTCTGATCGATGCGCCGACCACCTGCCAAGTTCCGCTGAAGGAAAAACGCAAAGAACTTCCGCTGGAGTTCTGTGAGTTGCCAACGGTGCTCTATGGAATCAAAATCTTGAATTCTACTCCGGATTAAGTTATGGAATCCCAAAGACAAATTACAACTTCTAATTTAATATTGTATTTTAATATTGTACTCCGCATATTAATATTTCTTACGTATTAATTACTAACTTAAATTTTATGTTATATTGAAAATGAGTATAGTGTTTATAACAAATATGTATAACCGTTAAAAATTTTGAACATACATAATTCAATATTTGAGCAAGTTAAAAAATTAAATGAGCACACACAAATACAAATTTGAGCATACTAGACAATTCAAATGAGGTGCACAAATGAGAGCGTATCGTAGATTTTAAATAAGTTTTTTGAATTTTTGGTTGCTCATCTCACAAGTAATGTATACTCATTTAATATTAGTGAAATGCTCATTTTAAAATGCTTCACATTTCAAACTTACTACGTATTATATTACATTATGTTAAACTCGAATGAGTATAAAACCCAAAATGAATGAGCATACACAACTGAGCAGTTGAATTTTTTTTATACCCATTTTGTAAGTTATATATACTGATTTTGTACCAATCTTCTACTCATTATATTTTTTACATAAGACTTGATTATAGACATGAGAGCACATATCATGATGCTCAACTTCATAATTCTAATACTCAATAGAGGAGATTTGATACTCAATTAAAATATGAACAAAAAAACTTACGTTTTTCATATTAATGCTCAATTTATATGTTACATATGCTCAATTGGTACCGATGTTATGCTCATTTTTAAAATGTCATAGCAATGCATTATTTCAAAACTACCATATTATATTAGATTCACATATTGAAATTCATATGAATTGATTATTTATAAATATAATTTAATGAGATTTTATATAAAAAAAATAAGAAAAACAAAATGAATTACAATATATGAAGTTGATATCACAATACTCATTATTTTACTCTTAATACTCGGTAGAATACGCCTGATGTTCATTAAAAGTGTATTAATGCTCATCTAATGAAAGCCGCGATTTTCACTGAAATTACGAAAATGCCACCGTTTTTAAATTGTGATATCAACTTTCTTGTAATAACACGGTGCTCATTATTGGACGCTTAATACTCATTACAATTGGACTATTGCTCATTAACAGTACACCGATGCTCATTTAGCAGAAACCGCGATTTTTACATTAATTACAAAAACACCACCAAATTATTTTGCTATTTTTTCCTTGGGACTGTTCCTGGACCGACTGTACGGTGCTCACCGTACAACCAGTTGTACCACATAAGTACTCAAGTAACATACGGAGTAGCCAGTAATTGTCGTACCATTTAAATATTCCGGGCTTTGCTTCTTTTCATAAAAGGAAAAACATAGACGGCTCACCCAATTTTCCATATTTGTGGGAGATATCGTTAAAAATAATCCGGATTCAATATTTGATACTAGATTATTTTCTAAAATAATCTTTACAAATAATTTCACTCTTTCAATCATAATCTTAAAATAATCATCCATGTCATCAAATTATTCTCTAAATAATCTAAACAATGAGGATGATCCAAGGGCCAACCGGACAGACAGAGATAGTTACTTGAAACAAAATGTAAATTTGAATTTAATCACAAACGGATAGATAACGAGTGAAGTTCTGGCCCAAGTAATATCTTACCGCAGTTGTTAGGATTTGAACTCAATACTTACTCTTTGTGGCACTCCCTAACTACCATTTGAGCTACGCTCACCGACAACAAAGCCTTTTATTACAAATTATATAGGTCGTAACCTCAAGAATGGGTTTTTGGCAAAATTAACAATGGATATTTATAAAATATACTTCGAATAAACTTCCACATTTGTTTTAATGATAACCTAAATACGTTAATGATTGACATGTCAAATTGTAACAAATAAAGAGTAACCTCGTTCTTTTATTATTCAAAAAAAAACTTTGTTCCTTTAACGTTATTTTTACATTTTGGCGGTTTAAAGTAATGGTTGTAATGAAAGTGAACGTGCGTCTCTCTCTAGGGTTACCCTTCCGGTAACGCCTAGCTTCAGATTTTCCGCCGCTGTTAGCCTAGCCTGGGGGTGTGGTTTCGTTTTCCGGGCTCTTTAGTGGAGTCTCGCTTCGGTCTCTCTTCTTCAAGCTTCAGACGTCGAGCTTTGGAGGTTGGAAGGTCTCGTTAGTCACGAGGCGTCGGCTATGGGACTTGAAGAAGATGCTCGGGTTTCGGTGTTTTTGTGGTGCACGAGGCAATTTGTGGAAAAGGCAGCAAGGATCGAATGGAAGGTTTTGTTGACAAGTATAAACAGATGGCGATCGGGACGGAGGAGGATGAGTTGGACCTGGATGAGGGTGATGTAGAGGAGATTCCGGTGGAGGAACAAAGCCCGGGGTTTCCGGTTGTGGGGCCGTGGGGGTGCTACTGACAAACATGAAGGTTAAATTTTCAGCCCTCAAGGAACTTATGACTTCGCTATGGCGGCCGGGAAAAAGTATGTCGTTCAAAGAATTGGGTGAAAAGAGGTACCTCTTTACTTTCAATCATCGTTTTGATATGAATCGTGTTATTGAGGGATGCCCTTGGTAGTTTGAGCGTAATCTGTTGTTGTTGAAAGAGGTAAAACCTGATGATATTCCACATAAGATTGTGTGTTAAATGAGGCTGCTTTTTGGGTCCAAATTCATAATGTTCCCTATAGCCTTGTGAATTTTGTGCAAGAAATGTGGGAAATTTTATTGGAAAATTTATAAATTATGATGATAATCTGAAAAAGGAGAAGATGGAGCCTTATATGAGAATCTGGGTGTGTATGAACGTTGATAGACCTTTGAAAAAGGATACTAATCTGAAAAAAGAAGGAAAAAGTTTTTGGGTGGATTTTAAGTATGAGAAATTGCCCAATTTCTGTTTTATTTGAGGGTTAATAGGGCATTCAGATAAATTTTGTGCATTAAATTACGAAGAAGATCTTATTCTGGAAAACCGGTTTGGGGTTCAGCTTAGAGCAAGGATTGGGGTGAAGACTATCCCTACAGGAGGAAGTAAGTGGCTGACATAGGGTTCATCGAGCTCTGGCAGGGACCGCAGATATATGGGAGAATTCAAGTCTGATGATAGGCAGGATGGAGGGGAGAATATTCAGCGCAAAGTATTACTGAAGGCGTGGAAACAAAAGAAGAAACTTCACGGGAACAAAAGAGAATTGAAGAAGGATATGACAAACCCAGGAAGAAGGACAAAATGGAGAGGATAATATGGCATTGGATGGGACAAAAACGGTGCAGGGGCGTGCTTCGATCTGTAAGCCTGTCGAAGCATCTATTGTCTGATTGGATGCGGGAGCTAAGGGTGTTCGTGTGTTGCGGCAGGCTCGGACCGAGGATTGTGGTAACCGTCTTTGGCTCATTTGTGCCCATTAATGGCTCAACGAATTATATTGCTTCTACGGAGGTGATTAATTCTGAGTCTGGTTCGCGGGACGATGGTTGTCAGGAATCTTTTTGTCGGATTACCTACTATCTGAATGATGTGTTATCAATTTAAGTCTACTTCATTTA